AAAAAAAAGTGAAACTTTACGATGCACTCCTGTTCCTCATTCAGGTGTTATCATTGTGGTTAAAAGCAGCGATTTTTTTCGTAAATTTTGTTTTCCCATTTCTACCAAGCAAAAAAGAGTGACAAAATAAAAATATCAAGAGCATACGCAAACATAGACGGACAGAGAACAAAACAAACTTGGTAGAAACACAAGCAGCACTAATTTTCGGATTTGGGATTATTTACCGCTTTGCGCAGCTTCTTGATCAAAGCCATGGGCTTCCTCTTCAAACCCCTCTGAAACCTAAAATGGTATGAACAAATTCATCACAAAAGCAATGAAGCCAATAGCACAATTACTTTGTGCTTTAGACCATCCTATAGTTCAACTAATAGGATGAATTCATCATATAACATATATTGCAAATAAACAACACTATACAATACAGTAAATCATTCTTCAAGACTGAAAATATCTGGTCCAACTGAAAGCAAACAATAATTAACAGTTTGAAAATGCATATTTGAGTAAATATGCTTCTAAAGGTAGCAAACTGCATTGGATTTACTGAATCTCAAACACAATTCATATGCCACAGGTAAGGCAATTTAATCTGCAATGAACATTAACATTACACAGACACACATCTTAAAATGAAATATCAAAAATATTTATAAACGTCATATAGAATAGGTATAGCTCGGATTTATAACACATAACCTACTCATCAAACTAATCAAAATACATACAAAGTTCGAAACTAATAAAAGCAATACAAGATTGAGGATTAGAGGATAATGTAGCATACACTAATATTCAGAACAGAATATCCAGTGTAAAGACACATTGAATGTCAAGAACAAAGTATTAAAGAATATTCCCTATTCTACAAAACACGAGCTTAAAACTAATAAAAATGAAAACTATCGTAGAAATGTGATTAATATTGTACCTTTTAATAACTCGAAATTTCCAATGACATTAGAACACTAATTTGCTGAATAAAATTACAAAAAACAGCAATATTAAAAATTTATATATTAGAACACAAAAGAAAAAAAAGGTACCTTCGGCGGGCACGGGCATGGAAGAGCTTAACGAGCTCGTCAGTAGACATATCAAGGAGAGCATCGAGGTCCACGCCCCTGAAGCTGAACTTCTTGAACGTCCTCTTCTTTGGCTGCCCAGTCGCAACATCTGTCTCTACTTCCGCCTGCACATACACACACAGTGAGCCAAAATCAGCCAATTAAACACACACG